GGAAAAAAAATTCAAAAATTCAAAATAAAATAAGAAAAATCCTAAAAAAAATAGTAAAAGTCAATTTTGAGAGCCTAAACAGTATTTTTTAGCCAAAATACCCCTACATCATGGCTTAGCCATGTGCTTTGTTTGTTAGACCGTTTGGCATAAAACTAGGTCCAAAAAGCTTTAAAATTAGGCTGATAGTTCTTTTTTTTTTTTGGTCGCACTCATACTAGTTCATGAATTCTAGGCCTTATTGGTCTACATCACTTTCTAACCTCAATTAGTTCTTCAACAATAGAACCTTCGTAATCACCATCATTAAAACTATTATCACTCTATGGTTCCTCAATTGGTAAGTAGTCATCATCATTATTATTGTCATTGTGCTCATTCTCATAAACACTATATCTTCTACATCATTGTCATCACCATCAACATTTTGTTCCTATGTCATCAACGGTAACATTATATTCATCATCATCATCACTTACATTCTATTCGTTATCATCATCACATATATCTTGATCATTTGCCACATCAATTGGAGTAACTACATTTTCACCCAAACCACCATCACCTTCCACTTCCTCTTCCGCCTCAACATACACATCAGCAAACCCATATTCACATCCAACACTTAGCATCTTCAAAAAACCTCACCCTCATCTATAATTAACTCTTCCTCATTTAGACTTTATTAGTGTAAGTGCTTAAGATCCAACCATGTTTGGATCAGTTTGAGTTATTATATTATTGTATCATTTTTTTAATTGATGATAAAAGAAGTCTCTCTATTAATTCTTATATTTTATATACATTTATTGGATATAATTTGATAGAAGTCCGGATAATATCCATTTGTATTAATAATTGATCGAAAGATGTGAGACAAACACTAATACAAATAAATGATATCATTAAATATCTTAAGTCATAGCATTGTCAAGAATAGATATTGATAAGATGCGGTTAGACTTGTGAGTGTTATGCTCATGCTATATGATAATAGTAAGAGATCTCACACCTATTGGCATAATGATGCCAAAGCAAGCACTTAGGTGATTTATGTTAGAGAATATATCACTAGACTTGACTCATCATGAGAACCCATTTGGTTTAGTCTATAGGAATCTCATACAAGATGGGTACAACTGGTCCTTAGACTTGGAGTCATTATAGTTATTTCATTGGAGGATTTATATATTTTGACACTCATTTTGATGGACCTAGTAAATGGTTACACATAAGCGATTTGTTGGGTACACTAGAAATCTAATGAAGGTAGGTTGATGACTAAGATATGACATGTCATTCCTTATATACTAAAAGAGTTATCATATCGCTCTTCGATGAATGTCCGCTTAAGAAATCTATGGCTACGGTAAGAGTACACCAATAAAGCATAGTTGGTTTACTCTAAGAGCTAAGACATTTAGAAATTAAAAAAAAAACTTATGTAATCATAATTGAACAAGACTAATAACCAAGTTCGAGATCACACTCGTGATTAGTTGACATGAGGATCGAATTGTATGGTAACCATGCTCGTGAAAGGTAATTATAAATTAATTAATCCTTCAAGAGAATTAGGTACTCATGATACCTTACTAGATACCAATCTTGTTTTATGTATCAAAGGATAAAAATTATCTTTTATTCTTGATACATTGCTAACATATCTGCGATCTATTGAGTCATACACGTAAGTTTAAGTATTCGCATAATAAAAGAGAAGCAAATATGTTGAAATAATTTCCAATTTTAAATTTTCCTATTTTGTAGAAAGTTTTTTAAAATGAAATTTTTTCTATTTTAGAAATCATATTTCTAATTTGGAAGTCAATTCCAAATTGGAAAATAAATAACCTAAAAAAAATTAGTTTCCTAATTTAGGTTTAAGGGTATTTTAAGAAATTGCTTCTTAATGTAAGCCTCCTAAAATTATCTAACCTAATTTATTTGTATAGTCCAAATTAACTAGTTGGGCCAAAATAGTTTGGATCAATAGGTTTAATTAAAAGCCTAAAAGATATTATGGTGAAAGGATAATTATGAACCTTATTGGATAAAGATGAATGTTTTAAAGATAAGATCAAAAAGCTTACATGTAAAATAACTCATAATTCTTGGAGGATTAGGAAGCAACAATCTAGAGTCCTTTAAGGACTCATTGCCCCTAGGACTAAGGAAGCCTCTCCTATGAATATGTGGGAGAGAGGTGCAGCAAAGTGAGAGGCTTTTTAAAAGAGAGAAAACGAGCACAAAGAAAAAAAAAGGCTACGCCACACGACATTGAACAAAAATTAGGAGAAAATAGTTTTCTCAAAAAAACTCTAGCACGAGCCATCTTCCTTCTCCCTCTTGGATTGTCGTAAACTTACCCTAATTAGATTTCTAAAGCATAAATACTAAACAAATTAAAAAAAGACGGAGCTAGCACTCTATCAATTTTGAGTGCTTCTTGTATGATACTTGGACTCGTGTAGATTATCGATAGAGATTAGACGCTTGGATGGCTCCTTTTTACAAAGGTTTAAATCTGTTCTATAAAAGGTAATTCTTTATTTATTGCTTTAATTTATAAATATATAGTTAGTTGATTCAACGGCATGATCTTGAGCCCTTTAGATGGAGAAAATGTTTGTTTTATTCACACGTTGTTTAAATATCATAACCCTAGATGTCGTATATCCACATTCAATAACCCCATCATAGAGGTCTTTTAATGTCACGTAATTAGGATCTTTTGAATAATTACATGATCTAATCCTAACCTTGTCAACATAATTGGACTCAAGCTATTGAATATCCGACCAACATGAAAATTCAACTTAAATGTTTTAGCCATCTTGTAGAAAAAAAATCGAAGGACAAATAAATTATTATAAACTCTATAGATACATACTTAATATAATAAAAAATAATTATGTTAATTATTTTTTAGAAAATTAGGGTTCTAATAATTATCCATCACAATGCGATTAAAGTATTTATACGAGCAAATGAGACACCAAAACCTAGAATCATCAAAATAGATATAAATGAAAAAACTCGTAAAAAATAAACCGAGAATAGGTTAAGATAAAGAATGGAGGAACCTTATAGTTGAAGATTTGTAGGGAATAAGTACTTATTAAAGATTCGAGTTTTTTAAAAGGTATGCAAATGCAAGAGTGGGTTTTGGTTTGGAAATTTTGTGAGAAAAAAGATATTGGTTGAAGGAGAGAAGAAGAAAAAAACGATTGGGGTTCTTGTTCGTCGTGCCAAGAAAAAGAGAATAAGGTTTTTGTTCATCTAACAAAGAAAAGAAGAAGATTATGGATTTAGGCTTGTTCATCAATCAAGTAGAGAAGAGAAGAAAAGTAGGGATTTGCTTTTTTTATAAATTAAATTGAATTAAGTTAGGTGGTATTTGATAAAACTAAAACTTAAGTGTTGAATCTATTAAGTATTGAATTTTAAGTGCTAAATAATTAAGCACTCGAATATATTGCTCACAAACTCGTTTGGTATTTATTAAAAATTAAGTGCTGAATATAATAAATATTTGTTTGATAAGTAATGTTACTAAACATATCAAGGTTATATACATAAAAATTTTAATCTTGTAATTGTAACATGATATTTTTTAGTGTGTATGTGTGTGTGTGTGTGTGTGTGTGTGTGTGAATTAATAAATAAATAAATATCTAATAAAATGATTATTAGTAAAAAAAAAAAATTAAACATGATCTAAAATAGCCTTTGGTGTATAAGTTAAAAAAAAAAAAATCAATTTGTTCATTTAATTTTTTTATAACATACTTACTATGAGATATTTTTGAAATCTATATTTTAGAGTTATTTTATGGTGATGCTAAAAAGGATCATGTAATAAGATAAATTGCATTGGAGTGAAAAAAGTTGAATTAGGTGTGTGGGGGGCACTACTCATGATTGTTAAAGTAGTTCGATCCTACGGACACTAGAGAGTTTCAATGTTTATATTATTTAAGAGTTTCAATTCCCCTTGACCACCACTTGTTTCATTATAGGAAAAGACTCGTTATATTCAAATTCATAAATGTTTAGCCCCTTAAGTTGGTGATTTAGTTATAAGAATATACGAAAACTATATAATCATATTTAAGAAGTTTAAAAAAACTTTCAACTAAACATGTTAATCAAAAAATTTTAAGTTAAAAATTTGAACTTACCCAATTAAGTAGATTTTGACTTGAATTTAAATTTTAAATATGAAAATATTCAAATTATCAAATAAACTTTCTATATTAAGTACTACATTTTAATTTTTTAAATTACTTAAATAGATTATCAAACGTACTCTTAGCTTTAGGAATTGATTTTGAATAAATAGTCAACATATCATCCCTTCAATCTAAAATTCTAATTGTTATCCACATATCATCCTACATAAACTTTATCCATGTCATCCTACATATCTTGCCACATCAAATAAACTCAAAATCTTGAACAAAAAAATAACTCTCATGCTGAAATAGTTATCAAAAGCATAATTCATATATTTTCCATCCATTTTTGAAAAAAAGAAAAAAAAGAAAAAACATATATCGGAAAGATTAAAAAGTATAGTTATTGTTTTTGTGATACAATAAGCCATGAATTTTTTAGTGACCTTTTTTGTGTTGTTGTAGTCAGTCATATCATATAGTATTCATCATTTTAAATAAATAAAAAAAAAAAAAAAAACAGTTGAATATGTTTAATTTGATGGAACAAAATAATACAATTGAACAGTCACGCCATGTCGCAGCAACACAAAATCACATTGCAGAGTCAAACAGGATCTTAAAATTCGTGACAGCATCTCCTTCCAGCACCATAACCACCGCCACTTGTATTGACCAGAATCAACAGTCAAAAGACGGAAACCAACCGTGGCAACACACCAGCCAAGCTTAAATAGACAGCACAAACAAGAACCGTTGGATCAACCAGTTAATGAATCCCCCTTCCATCCAACCACTTTGTCCTTCGGACCCTGAAAAAGAATGATTGTGAGCAAATTTTGGAAACCCGCCAAAGAAGCTTATAGGTTTAAGATCCGGGTTAAAAAGGAAAGAAATCGCAGGAACACATCCTCCGTTGCTCCACTCTCTCTTGAATCCGTTGGCCAAGGAATCGATGATTTAAGTATAAGAGAAATAGTCATTGTTGATACACAAATATGGCCGTACAAATCATTAAAAAATAAATAAAATAAATGTTCACAATATGATTCAATCATTTTTTACCATTTGTCATCTACGTCTTCTGAATTTTGAACCTCAGACACTGAATTTTGCACTTTTTGAAACCATAGATAGTGTTTTATGTGCTATAAATCAACATCACTATAAATACCTCTATTGCCATTTGTATATGACATCGAAGTTTTATAGGTTCAATTTGTTGGCAAATTTAAACTTTTGCGCAAGCCCATCACAGCTTTTACAAACCAAAAACATCAGTCAGAAATAGCAAGTCTTTCTCACATCGAATGGAATTGTTTCCATAGCTTAATTTTACACTATATGGACTGGACTAATTTATAGTGAAAAGAAGTAATAATTTTTATACTTATGGATTGAATTGGTCTAGCATAACTACTAAAAAAAAATACTGCCATTGAACACTAATGATGATTTAAATAAAATGCAACCTGGATTTTACACTGATATATACACATATAATAAAGATTGCTCATAAATAAATCCCCTTTGAGCAGTTTTTCTATCAATTTAAAACCTAGAAGGCCCATGTGCAAGAAAAATTGACATGCTATCCGCCTTTGCTTTCCACCTATATGACTAAGTCTTAATGAAAGTTATCCTCTGAACTCTAGGAAAAGATTTTCTAAACTGCATATAACAATAAACAGTTCGTACAGAAAATAATCTAAATTTCTAACTCTAGAAACAAAGAAACATATACAAAAGATTGGATTTTTAAACTAAATGTTGAAAATGCCCAGCTGCAAACCAAACGGCCTAGAATGCAGGCAGCTCTGCATTAGATCTATATCCCCTATTTGATATTTTCTTCCTCCTACAGATTGAAGTCAGTTCCACTGGTATTTGGTTTCTATGAATAGGAACCACCACAGATTGCTATATTCAGGAACAAAAGGGGAGGGGGGAAAAAAAAAAAACCACAAAACAGTGCGCCTATGTACAAGAAGACATGGACCATAAATTAAATAAAATTTCTACAAATTCATTATTCAACCTTATGTACAAGAATGGCTCCAATAACGTTTATGTACCCTCACAAGATACCACGAGCAGTTCCTTTTCTCAGGTCTCCACTAGGCAAATTGGTGCGAATGTGAAATGATAATGAAGATGTTGCCTTGAAGAAGTCCTTATAACTTCAACAGAAAGCATTCTATATGAACAGAAAAACAGAAATGCATGTATTCTTTCACTAAAATACGTAGCAGAATGTAAAGCAAAGAAAAACTCAAATGCGTTGCCAGGATCAATAATGCCATTATGTATATACCTCTCTGATGGAAAGTAATGCATCTTTCATTAGGCTGATAAGAATCTTCGGAAACGTTGTACTCTTGCTTGAACCTGATCATGATACAAAGACCTTCCCTGATGTGAATTCCTTCTTTTACTTCTTAATCGAAAAAGAAATCTTCAGTGTCTAGAACATAGGAGATCTGCCCAAACAACACTGATATTTAGCAGTGGTTATTTACACTTGTTCTTTCCAGCAGCAAGAAAACAAAAATTCAAAGCAGTTACCAAGATGATGCAGGAGATTTCGGAAGGATTAATATTTTCCTTAGCAATCTTAGTTTCCTTATTTAGTCCAGGAATCTCTATGTTATTTGGATGCATTGTTAGTTACATAACCATTAATAGCTAGCTCTTTCCCTATTAGGATTAGGATTTAGCCCTATAACTAGTATAAATAGGGCTGCCTAAGCTATTCTTCAAACATGTCTTATATTATCATCAATCAATTTACGTTTGAGAAAGTTGTCTACAAACCTTAAACCTATTTTTCTAGTTCCAGCTTCAATTTTCTACTAGTTTTAGCCATTATTTTTGTTTTTCTTTGCTATTTTGAATTGATACCTCTTCCCACAATATGTCAAATTGTTAAAGTAGAAACAAAAGGTCCTAGGATTGGATTAGGGTTTGATCATACACAATTGTGGGACATGGTAGAGGTCATGGACGAGGACGAGGAAATCAAGGCCAGTAAGCAGATACGTATAAAAATGAGACATGCGATTGAAGACTTGTTGCAAGCTGGTCTTAGTCTTGCAGCAACAGAACCTGTGGGAGCCCGAAAAGAGATTCCAAAAGTCGACCATGACCTCTTGGACACACCAGAAGGTGGTCTTGAGGTTAAACTTGATGGTATTGGGGAAAACCCCTTCCATGATGCTGAACCAGTAAGCAATACGGTAAGAGGTGGGCTGTTAGAGCCCATGCCCTTGAGTTGAATGGATAAGGAATTAAAATAGAAGTTGCTGCTTTTATGGAAAGATGCACTTAGAGGATTACTTAGATTGAGAATCTAGCCTGGACAATTATTTTGAATGGAAACCTATGGCCAAAGCTTAGTAAGATATTCTTTGTGAAGCTTAAATTGAAGGGCAAATCACTACAATGAAAGAAGAGAGTTGAATAGCAATGGGCACGACAATGTAAGCATAAAATAGGAACTAGGAAATATATGAAACCAAAATTAAGCAAGCAATTTTTCCCAGCTGATTATACAAAGGAATAATTTAAATTAAGCATAATTAAGCAATTTTTGCATGTCTTTAGAGGAGTATACCGCAAAATGCAACAACCTTTTAATTCAAGTATATTATATTTATTAGCCACATTGCTATTCAATTTTAGGCATCAACTGTTTCATTTTCTCGGCGTCTCTCTCTTCACAGCAACTTCTCTAAGACTTCATCTCCTCTCCTTTTCTTTCAATTACTAAAATTTTCAACCTGAATTGTTTTGATTATCACTCCCTATCTATGGATCTTCATTTTCTTCTCTTTTAGGATCTGATTTTCATTATTTTTGGACCACTGAAACTGGCTGAGAAATAGTCCAATTCCTCTGATTCTGCATGAATAATCAGATTCATCTCCGATCCTTTGCTTTCAATTACTAAAATTTTGAACCTGAGTTGTTTGGATTCTCTCTCCCCAACTATGAATCTTCATTATTTTTGGGCCACTGAAACTGGATGTGAGGAATCATCCAATTCCTCTGATTCAATCATCTCCAATTCATACACCTGAGTGGAATTACTTGGTACTTGAATCAACTAAAATCATAAGATTCAAATCATGAATCACACAATTCCAACAACCATAGTCATTGCTATCTCAAAGATTATATGTTGGGGAGACATGTTAATGATCAATGAAAGAGCAAATCACAAGTAAAAGTTTGTTTTGCTAGAAATATCATCAAAGAACTAAGGCTAATATCAAGCATTGTTAAACAGTTGAAGTGTCAAAAGAAAAAAGGATGGCAGGACTTGGTTGGACATCAGCAAGATCGAGAAAGAATATCATGGACACAAGGACAAGTTTCCTACAACCTGAGGGGATTGACGAATTAATATTTTCCTTAGCAATGTTAGTTTTCTAATTTAGTTCAGGATCCTTATGTTATTCGGATTCTTTATTAGTTATACAAGTTTCAATGGTGAATTCCATTCCTATAAGGATTAGTATTTGGACCTAGAACTAATATAAATAGGCTGCCTATGCTATTTAACAAACGTGTCTAATATTATTATCAATCAATTTACATGTTTGAGTTTGACAACAAACCCTAAGCCTATTTTTCTAGTTCCAGCTTCAATTTTCTTATCATTTGAACCATTATATTTATTGTTCCTTGCTGTTTTGAATTGATTCCTCTTCCCATACTACGTCAAAATAAATCCAGGACCTTGCTTGTACCTATTGGTTATGTCCCCAAGGTGGCATTTCATGGGACTCTGATGTGAGAGTCCTGTAGCTAGCATGAGAAGATTTAAGGATTTGTTAAGGAAAGCAATTTGCAGGAAACTAGGTTGAGTAATGTTCAGTTCACTTGGTTCATTTCTAGTTGGCATGTGGTTGGTTCTTAGATGGATAGTCTAATTCTCCAAGGAGTGGGAAGAAGTCTTTATGAAATGAAACAAGTCTCATATTACTCGTGTCAGTTTTCGATCAATTTTCTGCCTAGCTTGAGTCTAGTCTGGTTACATGGAACTTTGGTCTTTTATATCCCGGTTAAACAAAAAAAAAAGCTATTACTTTTAATGCACACTACGTCCCTAATGATGGAGCTTCCTTGCTAGTGAATTCACAAGAAGAGATAGTAGGCAATGAATGTCTGAACTTCAGTGATTTTTATAATTGAGTGTTTGGTTTTATTTATTTTTTTTTCCAAGTGTTTTAGCTGTTTAAAGTGAATTTTTATGTCTGTTAACTTTTCTGTTAAATGCTTATGTAGCAATTCGAATGGATATAAATGAAGCCCAAAAAATAATAAATTGATTAAAAAATCTACTCAAAATAAAAAGAATCCCACTCAAAAATTTAAAGTTTTCCTTCTCCTCTTATTCTTCTCTCTCTTCTTGCTCTTGCTTATGCTTGATGGTGGTTCTATCAAGAGGCCTCACAAATTAATTCCCCTAAATATACTCAAGGTATACCTATTTTCTTCACACCTATTTTCTTCACCAAAATCCATTATATGGCTGTGCCACTCCAAAACCCAATAGTTGAACCATTTTCCCTTAGGAAACCCAACTCAGATGTGGTATTGCCAATTATGACAAGCTGACTGGGAGTGGGGTGGGAAGATGATGGTGGCAAGCATTAAGGAACCAAAATCTATGAAATTTACAAAAATAAAAAATAAAAAAAAATTGTGGTGGCTTAGGCTTAAGTTATGGCAAATTATGATGGTTTTGGTTTACTTGTAGATTTGTGATGGCTTTGGGGGGGGGGGGGGGGGGGGTGTTGGGTTTACATGTGCTGAGGATTCTCATAGTAGTTGTCTACATTTGGTAATGGCAACAGAATTATTGTGCCTTGGGTTTATTTGTGGCTGTCCTAATAGGGCTGTGGATGGCAGCGTTGAAAATAATTAAAGTTTTTCTTTTTTCTTTTTTTTTTTCTTTTTTTTTTTTTTTTTTTTAAGGCATTCAATGTGTTAACCTGATTTCTTTTTTCTTTCTTAATTCTGAATTTTAATTATTTTTCTTTGTTGTCACATAAGCATTTAAAATAAAAAGTTTAACTGACATCCAAAAGGTCACTTAAAACTTAAAAGAGAACTAGAATTTTAGTGCCCAACTTTTGATTTTTTTTTTTTTTCGGTGCCCAACCTTTAAATTCTTTTATTTCAGTATCTGATTTTTTATTTTTTATTTTTTATTTTTTCTACTCAAGTGCCCACAATCCACTAAGAATATAAAATTCTGAAGTGTTTGAAATGAATTGCCACATGACATTTTTTAATTGACACATGAAAAAATTAAGCATATAAAAAAAAAGAAAAATTATAATTAAATTAAATTAAATAACTTCAAGTAGTTGAAAAATAAAATTAAAAACATTAAAGTGGGGGCTGACCAAAAAAAAAAAAAAAATCTCGTCCAAACTTTTCACACATACATGGGACCTTTGAATCACTAACTATGACATGGTAGCATAGCATGTGCAGTAGGAAAATATTGTCCAATTACAAATAGCCGATGGTTAGAATATACTTCTAAAAAAAGAAAGCTTAATAAGCTTAAGCAAATAAGCTATTGAACTTAGCCCAAGAGTGATCAATATTGTTAGTTCTATCCTCTCTCTCTCTCTCTCTCTCTCTCTCTCTCTCTCTCTCTCTCTCCTTCTCTTTCTTGCCTCATAGCTTCTATACGAGCTTCATATTTGTTTCTAGTTTTCCTTTTTGCCCAAGGAGCTAGGCATAGAGGGCTTCCAAGTTTGCTCGGATGTGGTCTTCTTCTTTTTTCATTTCCTAAAGCTTTTTACTTAATACTTCTTTGTCAGCACTAAAGATGTTGATCTTACTGGTAAATTCTTCATAAGAGGTCTTCAACTCAACAATTTTCTTTTTGTCATCTTCAGTACAAGGCTTAACTGCTTTAGTCCAGTCAGTTTTCTGCTCATAAAATAGGTGGCTTGTCATCAAGGTCTTGAAATTGTCAAGGTAGAGTTAAAAGATTTCTAGTTGCTGAAAAATTCAAAACAAAGATATTTCCTTAAATTCTCAAAACTAGATAAAACCAACAGACAAACGATCGGCTAATATGGCCACTTGTACTAGAAATTTTCTTAAGAGCCTTTTTATCAAATCTGCAAGCTGGGAAGAATTCTCTAGACTTAGGTTCATCAACTGTTCCATGCTGGTAAAGACAGACCGAAAGTTCACATCATGCCGAGTTTCTATAATTGACATTGATGGTATCTCTATAGCTGGTTAGGAAGCAATGGTGAATGTGAGCTCTTGAGAAGATGTTGAGTTGGCTGGAGATGCACAAGTCAATACAAGGACTTGTTCAACTGGAGTAACAAGAGATGTAGAATGGTGTTTCTCTAGCAGAATCAAAAAGTTTGGACAAGAGTTTTCCTGCCATCCCAACTTTAATGTTTTTAAATTTTTTCAATTACATAAAGTTATTTAATTTAATTATAATCTTTTATTTTTATTTTTTTAATCACACCACTTCTCCACATGTTATTTAAAAAATGTCACATGACAATTCATCCTAGACACATCAGCATTTCACTCTCATGTGACTGTAGGCACTCAAATAAAAATAAAAAACAAAAATTTGACACTAAAATAAAAGAATCTAAAGATTTGGCACTGAAAAAAAAAATACCAAAAAAAAAAAATTAAACAAAAGAAAAAATTCAAAAGTTGGGCATCAAAATTACAGTTTTCTTGTCAGACATGGCAGTTAAAAAATGTCACAAGACAGTTCATCTCAGGCACGTCAGCATTTCATACTTTCAAGTGACTGTAGGCACTCAAACAGGGAAAAAAAAAATCAAAGCTTGGCACTAAAATAAAAGAATTTACAGATTGAGCACTAAAACAGGAAAAAAAAATTCAAAAGTTAGGCACCAAAATTGCAATTTCCTCAACTTAAAATAAAACATTGAAACACTTATTTGAAAATAATTAAAGATCAACACTGATTGTAAAAATCACCATAGTTCCAATTTTGGATGCCTATGATCTCCAAACAGAATTATTATACAAGCCAGGGTCACCAGTGGTATTTTAAGCCTAGTACATCAGCGTAGGATTGAATCTAATGAGAAATAGGACGCTACCACAGTATAGGATTTCCATCAGGTGCAGTAAGAAAACTTTGGACACATCTCCTTTGAGGGACTAGTATGATATTGACAGAACTTTGCTCAGTAACATAGTTGCTCATTTAAAAGAAAAATTACAGTTTCAGCTAGAATGCAAGTTTTGCTTGTATGATTGTTATTTTTTTTTTTTTTTATCTCAAATATCAAGAAAAGAAAAGAAAAATTTTCACTATATTGGGTCATGTTCTGTAGAATGGGCCAAGTACCATGTTCTGAGTGTATAGATAAACAATCTGTTTAGTTAAAAAACAATAGTTTGTCATATATGAGATGTTATTGATTAGATTGAAAAACGGTTTTTTTTTTCTTTTTTTTTCTTTTTTTTTTTTTTGGGTGGAGGGCAGGGGAGGGTTGGGAGATCACAACAAAATAAACTTTTTCCCGGTACCCATGCCAAAATTTGGATCCTTTCAAGCCAAGTCCTGGTATACTAAAATTTAGGATTTGAAAGGACCAGCAGCTAGATGCATACCCACAGCAAACCCTTATATAACTAGGATAGAACAACATAGTTTTTAATTGGAAAAATTAAGAGAAAAAGGCTATATAGATACTAACAATTTTAGAAAAATTATGTTTTTTAACTAATGCAGGGGCTTATGAATACGTTCTATATACTTATCAATTAACAAGCAAGTTGATGTGGCAACAAAAGAAGCAAAATTACTTTTTTGTTGATTTTTTAAGATGGGGGATTTCTGTAATTTCAAGATTTGTTGAAAAATTATTGACGTCATAGTTTTTATTTTAAGTTTTAGGGTAAAACTAGCACAGAATTAAATGAAAATTCATGTAATGTGCCTGTTTCTAGACTTGTGTTGAAGCAGACGCAAATGTAGAAAAAAGTAAGAAACCTTGTAAAAAGGTAAAGCAAAGATAGTTCATACAGAAAAAACAAGATACCTTGCATGAATTGCAGGCAACCTTACACTCCAAACCATTGAACATTTTAACACCTTCCATGGCCATGCTTAAAGCAGAAAATTCATCTAGATCAGCATATTTCTGCTTGTTTCTGCAAAAACAGGAGCCTTATATCTAATCAATTGATTTCAGAATCCTGTTAGCCATCATATTCTAGAACTACACAAAGGAAAGAAGCATGTCTTCTCAAAAAGTGGATAGCGCTTGTAAATAACTACGCATGGCTGAACTAGCCATGATAGACATGGAAATAGAGATCAAATGGATGTTTTTATCAAAAACTTATTTACCGCACTATAATCTATTTGAAGCTATATAATAAATAGAAGTCTTTGTCCTTTCCTTTTTTATTTTTTTTTCTTTTTCCTCTGCTTCTCTTTTTTTTTTTTTTTTTTTGTTGGGGGGGGGGGGGGGACAGAAAAATTCACAGATCAAGAAATTTCAAGTGAGACAACTTTAGTCAGATGATAAGGGTGTGCAATCTAAGCCCGTTAACACATGCTGCTTGCACATTAATGGAACTTACAAACTGTACTACTAACTGTGAATTAAAAAAAAAAAAAAAAAAAATCATTACCACAGCTATTACTGATAATAAAAAAAAATAATAATAATTGTACCACTGACAATGAATATCAAGCATAATGTCACTACCTCAGCAGTGTAATCCCATGCGACTCCTTTTTTCCAGGACAGATAGACAGATAATCATCATGCAAATATGTAGCAAAAGTTGGATCCACACAAACTGCCAACACCTCGGGCTTCTCAGTTGCATTGTCCATCAGCTGGGTGGATAATGTACATGGAGCAGATGACTGTGGAGACCCAAAAAATCATCAATGGTCAAGTCAAGGGGGAACTACAGATGAAATAATAAGTGCACCCACACAAATGCAAGAAAAAAGGACTTACAAATTCTAACCGATAAATGTTCTCCTCATGAAGGAAAAACCGTGTGTTGTAATAATACACCGAATCAATGAAGCTCTCAGATTTCCGGGATGTTTCGTATTCATATAATTGAAGAAGCTTACCAGCCATCTCATCAGATGCAACAGTTTGAAGCTGAAATATAATTACAGTTACAAACTTTTCAGGAAAATGTTGTATAAATACATGGAAAAAGAAATCTTTGTAAGCAAACCTGTTTGACTAATTTATATATTAACTTGTCCAGTGTGAATAACACATATGACTGATTTCCAATAATAGCTCTGCACTCATCCTCAAACTTTGCATTATCAGCAGATCCATCTAGTAAATTGTATAGTGCACTAATAAATCTGCAGAGGTAGAAAATCATGGAAAGTGAATATGCATTTAATATTCCAAACAAGCAACTAAAAATAAATGATAAAGACCTGGCATAAGGATCTGAAGAACGAGCCTCCTTAGAAGTTCTCCATTTGATTTCAGCACCAGATGAATTCACTTTTGCTGATAAAATGCGTTCATAGAGGATCTACAAATTCAAAGAGAACCATATAAAGCATAGTTAAATCACAAAAATAGAAAAATACAAAAGAAACATGAATTTCTTGGTATGTAGATTGTGAATCTTGTGATACCTGATGAAGCCTGAAAAGCACATAAAAATCATCATTTCCATAAAAAACCCGGGAATCTTTCCTTTCCTCGTTAACTGAATCTGTTGGAACATGCTTTGCAAGAGGCTTAACAGACATGAGAAAATGTTCTGGTAATGGTGCAGCTCCAACATCCTTTGTATCGACCATCCCCTCGGCTTCACCTTCACTCTCAGCTTTTGCATCATCACATTCTATATCTTCATCTTCCTCAAGCTCTTTCCGGGAGCAGACATCACCAGCAGAATCACTGCCTGATGCATCATCACCAGCCTCTGAAACATTTTCACTATCCTCATCATCAGCAACATTTCCTTCTACAATATCCTGCCTGTGTAACTCTTCACCATTTCCAGATCCATGTCGCATGCATCCAACACTATTCTTTCCCTTGGCCATAGCCTGCAAGCCAGAATCTCCATAGGCATCAAAATTATCCTCTTCAAAATCACCATTAGGGGATAACTCGCCTTCTTCCTTCTCAATTTTGGAAGGTCCAGTGGATCCTTCATGACATCTATCATTTTTAGCACCATCCCTGAATCCTTCATTTGCAGGTAAAACTGATTTTACAGCAATCCCACCCTATGCCAACAAAGAAATAAAATCAATTGACCTTACTGTAAAAGAAGATAGAACAAGAGGCAGAAAAAATGATACAAAAATGACAAACCTTATCAAGCGCAGTAAGGGAAAAAAAAAAGCTGGGATAATAGAAGTTAATTAATGTGAAACCAATTACCCATTATTGTATTTGCTCTAGGCATGGCATGGAGGATCTTCAATTTGTCAAAAACTGATAAAAAATTACCATACCTCTGAAGGTGATCCAGCGTCAATACCAGCTTTGATTTTACAGTCCTCGACAGCAACACCACCGGGCACAGGCAGAATTGAACCTGATCCTTGAAATTCTAACTAATGTCAGTATCACAGCATTGGCATAAGATAACACAAAGATACCTAGCTTAGCATTAACAGAACAACTAGACAAAAGAATAGGTATTGTGCAGCTGATCCAAAACACACCTGCTATCTCCCCAACACTGTTCCTTTCATGACCACATTCTGATCCTATCATAAATGATGTTTTGGAATCTGCTACTCCTTGTATATTCAATCCAGATACTCTGACGGTTACAACTTTATCTTTCTGCTCTCTTTCTTGCCTAAGCACATTAAATGCTCGACCATCCTTACAAACATGATCAAGTTCACATGAGCTGTCATCCTTAGTTAATTTATCTGAACTTTCAAAACTCAGCCTGCAAAGGTTTCCTAATTCTTGTAAAATGTTTTCATCTCCATTGCTGGGTGATTTTGCTTGCTTAGAAGTTGATATCATGGGAACAGAATTAGGATTTTCAATTTCTGCCATGCTTGACGAAGTGCAATTCATGACAGGATGCTTTGGTTTCCCTTCACCTTCAGAAATCTCCGAGCCATTGGGATGAGAAACAATACCCAGCATTGGTTCCACGAAGTTAGTCCAAAGTCTTAGAACTTTATTCAATTGTTCTTTCGTTGAGCAAACCTCTTCACAGGAATACTGGACAAGTTTATACAAGTCTTCATGAATGTTTTTATCCGGGTAATCATATTTCAAATTTGGTACCAAGGGTTGTCTTTTTCCAGCTGCGAAAGCAAGAAGAACATCATCCTCTTTCTGCTGTTTCTCTTTCAGCTCCTTAATCTCAGCCACCAATGCTGTATTTTAAAGATCAATGAGCATAAGGTTGAGTTAAACAAAAGAAGATGTAAAATACATGTAACAACACGCTGAAATTTGCTTCAGTTTATCTTTAATGAAATGCACTTCACATGCAGTTTAACATAAACTTTTGCATAAACTGTCCAATATTGTATAAGCTTTCTTTCAAATATTCCACCAATTAGAAATTGTTGGAAACAGAAAAGGTGAGGCCAAAGAAACAGTGTCAACTAGTTCATTTGCATTTCCAAATTACATCATGTAATGCACTTGAAATTTAGTGGACAAGCTACAACTGGTACATAGTTTGTGCACATCCTTTGACAGATAGTACTCTCTTGCATGTTCCTAGGCACAAAACTAAAATTTCTCAGCTGACCCATGTACACGTATAACCAAAGGGAGTAATCAGGTAGGCTCGGAGTCATGCCTCCTAAAAGCTCCCAAGAAACATTTTCCACTCTCCTACCAGAACAAACACAGCCAAGTCGATCTTTGGAAATCAATAATTCACTTCGTCATTAGGTTGGTTTTGGCAGAAGGTGAAAAAATTGAGTGGGATGTTTCAAGAGTAATAGTTTAGGTGAAAGTGTAAATGGTATGGAATGTTTTATATTTATGGTTGTATTTATATATCAAAAGGAAAATGACAAAGTATGTACTAACAATTATTTGGGTTAGGTAGGTGCACAGCCAGAGAGAAGTAATATTACAAGATTAAAATTTGACAGGGTTAACAATAGCCGTGAAAAGAGGTGATGCCATTTGAATACACTTTTGCACCTAAACATTACTTCCCCAGAATAGTTAACTTTTAAGATATTAGTTCACCAAACAAAACAGGGTGAAAAATTTTCACCCAACTCCCCATCCTGTCAAACATTCCCTTGGAGAATATGCCAAGGTGAGCTTAACTGCAAAGAATGATGGAAACAGCAGGACAATAGTATGATTTGTAGCTGTAGCTTTCTCCTAAAGAGGTTATTTTGTTTCCAAACCTGTCTGTTATTGAAGGTAATAGTGAACATTCACCAAAATCTTGATTTAAGTAAACAAATTGGTAAATGATCTAATGGGAAATGTACCAGTATACGTAAAATACACAATTGACCCAATCTGTATTGAAATTCAACTTACATCTTGTGCTTAAGTTCTTTGAATCTTGTTGCTTGAAGTAGAAGCTCCGATGATCCAGTGATTTGTAATGGTTCTTCACATAAATTTCAGCCCAAACCTTGTTAAAATCTGTACGACACCTAGTCCACTCCTCTTGTTTCTGCTTCAGACGAGTTAATATAACAGGCAATGCAAGAATTGTGTTTTTCCGCAATATGTCCATCACATCAAGACCATGATCACCATATAACCGCTCTATGCACCGTAAGTTCAAAGCTGCAATGGAAAAACAGAAGAAGAAAAAACGAGGTAGTCAGGAATATAAAGGTCAGGTAGGAAAAAATGATAATAAAATAAGGCTAAATTGTAAATTACAACACCCCCCCCCCGATGAAACAATAAATACCCCCTGAACTAAACAAACCCTGATTTTGCACCATGAACTAAACTAATTGAGGATTTATGTCCGCACTAACAGCTGCTTAAGGTTTCCGTCCATCCCACAGTTAGGGGGTCTGACCTAACACCAATATCAAGTTTCATGAGCATAAGTGACAAGTCGTTTTGTCACTCCCTCTATATTTTCTGCAATAGATAAGGAAAAGAGAAAAAAAATGAAATAAGAAATCTCTTTTCTTTTTTTTCCTTTTTTTTTTTTTTACCTGAACATCATCATCAACAATCATCCAAATCATAATTTGAACCAACCTAACAATTAAATTGAAAAACTAACCTTCAAAACAACAAACCCATACACAAAATCATCATTCAAACACCATACTTGCTTTTCATTCCCTAATCTCTCTCTCCCTCCTAAGCCAAAACTAATAGTATTCATCTCTCTAGTAATTCCTCCTTCTCCCCCTTGGCCTCTGATTTAAAAGCTATGGAAGAAAAAAGAAATCAAAGAAAATCAACATCCATCCTTAGTCACCACTCACCATAAACTCTGATTGCAATAAACCTCAGCTGAAAATTCCAATCAACTCGATCCAAAAGAACCCTAATTCCAAAGTTTCTAGTTCTAAAAAATCCACCAAAAAAAACTTCCATCTTCTTACCCAGAAAAACCACAGTAAGCATTTACCTAAAAACTCTTAACAAAAAGTGAAAATCACACATGCATCTTCAAGAGACAAGAACATAGCAATTTATCCAATTTGATTTCTTCTCAAATCCATTCCATTTGTTTTACAAATTCAAATCAACCCATTAAAAGCTATATTCAACCCCAAGGATCCGAACCAGAATCATCTTCTTCATAATGTTGATGATGAGATTGAAATCAGATGGTTAATTTGATCCAGGAAGATTATTGTAATTCCTTCTAGTTTTGATAGATGTTAATATTTGATTTGTGGGTTTTGAGAAAGCATGGTGGTGGGTAGTGAAAGAAGTATGATAGAACATCTTCTTCTTCTGAATTATGTTTTAAAGCTGTGGCTGAATTTAGCAAAATTTCAAGAAAAGCAAGTTCTTGAAAGTTTGGTTATTTTGAACAAAAAGAAGCAAACGAGAGTGACAAGTCATGCTCATGAAACTTGAAATTGGTGTTAGATGGGAACCACAGATGGTAGGATGGATGGAAACCTTAACCACCGCTAGTCTGGACTTAAATCCTCAATTAGCTTAGTTCATGGTGCAAAATCAGGGTTTTTTTTTAGTTGAGGGGTATTTTTTTCGTCCAAGTTCAGGGGGTAATTTACAGTTTAGCCTAAAAATAATAGCAGCAACAAAACAGCCATAACATTATATTAATAACATCAATCATATTAATAACCGCAAAATATGTAAATTCATAATCTGCCCAAAGTACAAACCGGTAAGGTGGTCTTCAATATGGACTGGGGTTTCTACTTTATTTTCATTTATGCTGTTTAACAATTCTTCTGCACGCTTAGTAGTAGAGCTCACAGATTCCAACAACATGTCCAGCTCAAATCTAAAAAGGAAAAAAAGAAAAGCACAACACACACAAACACCAAATTATTTGCTCAAGTATAACAAATTCCCAAAATGAAATGGGAAAAAACACTAAAAAACAAGGAATGTTGCAACCACAAAAACATTTTACCTATCGTCTTCACACCTAAACAGACTTTCTTCATACTGATTTCTACGCATATGTTTAAAAGAGTAATCCTCACTTCCTGAAGTCACGGAGACCCAGTGATCATTCAACACTTGCGCACCAAGCTCCGATCTCTGGCTTGCTGAAGATATTGGATACTGCAAAGAGCCAAGCACCAACTAGCACATCACTCAAGAACTTATTTAAAATATCAATATGAACAAAGCATTCACTTGAAATTTCATACGTCATCTGGAAGAAGCCGGTAACTAGGAGTACAACGTCCACAGTTAGAAAGGTCAAGCTCCTGAATGGATTTAGCCATATACTTCTCCCTGCATCTTTCCTTTTCTTTGGCTCCATCTATTTCATGCTTCTGCTCCTTATCTTTGTCATCCACTTTCAGTGATCTGGATGCATGTCCATCGTTACCCAGTGACTCTGCTATCAACACATAAGGACCATCATATTTTACAAAATAATGAAAAATCCCAAGACATCAGAAAAGCTAAATGAAGAATGACATTTTAATAATAAGGTAAACAGGGAAGACATGTATCATTTGACTTACTTTTGCTTGCAACGCCAGCAAGGAACCCAGCTGCAAGGAGATTTTAATAAGAAGCGACATCAAAAATAATCAAATGGAATCAAGATCAACGTTTCAGAGCAAAATCCAAAGAGAAAAATACAACAGTCATATTTTTCTATATATTACCAATATGGCCATGACGCTCCAGGTAATCAATGAACTCTTCCATAAGATCAGGATACTTTCCAAGTAAATCAGTCACCTGAAAAGCACAGAGGTTTTAACTACATATGCAACAAGAAAAATTCAAATAAGGAAACTTTGTCCTCATCAAACTAAAATTTGCAATATAGTACCCTAATCATGCCAAAATAGATATATGGAAAATCGATTTCCTTTGTCAATTTAAATCAAACTTAAGCTTGGGTGTAGCTATTCAAGATGCATTAGGAAGCCAAATCAAGTCTCCAATCCATCAGTCTCAGATGCAATATGTAGCTTTGAGTGGCCCAAGTACAATCCTAAAGCTTTAGAAACCATTGTCAAATCATCAAAACCCAGACCACAGAAACTTTTCTGGTGTCAAATGTAAATTGTAGCAGAATGCACTTGTCCATGCACCTAGAAAACATAACCTGAAACCATTCTATATTTTGTGATGCAAAGAGCCAATTAACTAGCTGTCAGTTCAGTTTGATATTACTTGGGCTGGTATCCATAGCCTGACTCCATTCATTGTGTACTTGGAAATTCGATACCAGAAAATGGTTTTTAATATTTACAGCTAAAACTTAAGATTTGTCAAATGAATCAAACTGGAATTTCCGTTATCAAGCCTCAAAGAATAATATGGGCAGGGGGGGGGATTCCAACCAATCATATCGTAGAAGCGTTTCCTGTGACTTGTAGCTTTTAGCATTACAAATAAAAAGATCATGACTTGAGTACCAGGGTAAAAGCATAAAGAGAGATACATGAACAAACTTAGCCTCTGCAAAGATATTAAGAAAAAAAAAGAAGTCCTTACACAACATCAAAAGAACTTGAGAACTGCTTGAGATAATCTAACACATACCAAATTTTGTAACTCATTCCTTTTAATAATTCCTTGGTTATAAATGTTAAGGCACTTCAAGAATGCTTGATAATCATCTTCATTTCCCAACTTCTCCTTGACTTTCTCAAAGAAGACAAATTCTTGGTTGTAAATGCCTGGCATAAGAATTGAGATACCCAATAATAAAAAACTAAGTTGGAAAATGAGAAACTTTCTGTAATGGGAGATGATGCAAAAAGGCAAGGGACAAGACATCTAAGAATTTAAAAACTCTAAAAGACTGGCACACCTGATAGAATACAGTTGATCATTATAACAAGCAAAAACCAACTCTTCCTTTTTTTCATAGAAAAAATGAGGGGTTCTTGGGGAGAATCTGAGTCTCCACTAGCATTCAATAAATATTCACAGATTTCTATGTCGGTGAATTCGGTAAACAAACCATAACTTGAGAATGATTCTTCAGACTAAGCATCAGATTGCTCCAGCTAAATCACTCATCACAAAATACATAACAGATAACTTTCAGCGCCCCCCCCCCCCCCCTCAAAGCCAAATACATAGGAGAATATAAGTGCTAGAAACAGGTGAAATGTATGTGTTGTTCATCAATATACCATTTTTCCCTGAAGGGAAGAATTAAAACTGATTCTGCATCAAAAAAAAAAAAAAACGAAGGAAAAGAAAAGAAACTTCATGTAGTACATATAAAAACATGTATAAACCATTTATTTTGGAAATGGCATCAGTAACTCACTCTTTATGTTATCTCTGTCATCATAAGAAGCAAAGTTAGAATTTCCAAAACCTTCAGCCTTTTGGGATGATTTCCTTTTGTCAGGAAAGGGTTGCAAGCTGAAGTCTCTACTGCTATCATGCTCAGGCTCCCTATCATCCTGATCACGAATTCTCCTATCCCTATTCTCCTTTTCACCACGCTTTCTCTGCTCCTTAAGCACTTTCATCATTGCTTTGTCATCTTCCATCTCTGGTCGATCAACACTAAGGTCGCACTCAGCATGGGAAGAAGAAACTCTATCACGCCGACGTTGCTAAAGAAAGAGTTGCATTTCCAAAATATTAAGAATCAATTTAAAAACAGATGATCGATAAGATTAAACTGCTAATGCTGCCCACTCCAAAATAAATGATGCATTATGGTCACATAAGGTTTGATAACCTACTATCCCCCATCAAAAAGGAAAAACAAAGAGCATGTGAGATTACCCTGTCCATTTGTGTTAGCCGTGTGGAGGGTGCAGTAGAGTTCCGCTCATTGTAATGCTGGTTAGCATTCCGGGCAGATGGAACAGCATGTGTCATGGGTGTTGCTGAAGTATCTGGCAAAAATCTAGCAAACTCATCAAGCAAATCCTCATGGTCCTCAAAAAGAGCCGAAACCTGATAGATGGTCAGAACAGAACAGCTAAGAATACTTGAAATATTTGTATAGTACAAATGCATTGGTGTTTGAAACAACATAAGATATTAGCTGAAATAATCAACAAATAAGATATTAACTGAAACAATCAACAACATAATGTTCAACCTCACTGTAGACCTCGTTTATGTCCTTGTTTTCCTTCCGGTACATATTCAAAATGTCTAGAAATGATTTATAAACACGTTCATCATTTTGGAAACGTTTCTGTATGAACAAAATCTGTCAGTCGAAAATATCGAAACAAAAGGCAACCATTTCCAAATACAACAATGATACGGATATGTTTCACCTTTATTTTGTTTACAAAATTGATAGCTTGGTTAAATTCAACTGTTTTCTTTGGCGGAGCCTCATCCTCATCCTCGTCGAGGGTTATTTCATATCCCTTGGGCAAGAAGGTGTTAAATCCAAATATCAAGTTATTATGACCTTTGAATAACTCCTTCACTCTTGCAATGACACCAGAAGTGTCAGTTCTACAAAAAGACAGTAAATACATAAAACAATGCTCAAAACCACCTCTCATGAGTAAATAAAAAAATAATAATAGTGGTAATAATAATCAATAATCTACCTTTGAGCCTTGAAATCTTTCATGACTTCAAGGAACATGTCATATTTTCCCTTTTGGTCTTGAAACATGTCCTTAACTTCCTTGAGATAATGTAAGGCATCGGTGGTAGTTAGTTTCTGCGAACTAACATTACCTCCCCCGCCGCCGCCGCCTCCTCCTCCTCCAGGAATTTGTGTTTGCCCATAGCTTAACAACCAAAACAATTTCAATCATGAAAAACAAGGATAGTTATGTATTTCTCATTAAAAAAAAAATTAACATAATAAATAAACAGAACATGTAGGAATTTCACTGAAATAGAAAGAGGTGTTAAAAAAAAAATTACCATTCTCCACGTGTAGAAGTTAACGGCCGTTTAAATTGAGAGGCAGAGGCTGAAAAAAGATCGTCTCTTATTCTCTTCATCTCTGCAAAACAAAGAAAGAAAGAAAAGGAGTTCTTCCTTTGGTTGGTTTTTCAAAAGATGGATGAAATTAAATGAAAGAGACTCACTTTGGTTCCTCTTTTATTTATCAGAGTGAGGAGACAGATCTCATCCAAACAGAAAAACAAAAACTATAAAAAGGCTTTTTGATTGTACAATACTGCAAAACTAGGAATGGTCTCTTCGTCTGTATGTCTGTTCAAAACGGAAAGGAATGAATTGGATCGAAGAATAAAAGCCGCGAGAGAGAGAGAGAGAGAGAGAGAGAGAGGGCTGGAGAATTTTATGTCGCATACAAGTGAAAGAACTTTTAAGAGACGTGACACACTATAAATAAATGTAAATATAAAATAAAGCCCGAGTTTATTTATTTATTTACTAGCAAAACTAGAAGGGAGTGTAGTATTCCACTGGTACTTGAAGATTTTTGAAAAAAAAGGTGAAATGCAATGAGAAGAAAAGAAACGAAGAGAGTGGGTTCAGTTTGGTTTTGCACTTCATATGTTATAATTTCTAAATCTAGAACGAGACTTTCAACTCTTTAGAGATGTTGAAATAATACCAGTTATCAGCCCATGGTTGTCCGTGGACCTCGCCGCCGACTATGCAAGCTTCTTTCTACAAAAAATATTTTGGAACTAACCTACGTTTTTGTTTGCGAAAAATATTTTATAGGAAAATATTTTCCTCATTTTCCTGTAAATTATTCTACCTATAATAAATGCCAACCATTGTTCTCCTGAAAATATTTTTTATTTTCCCTCATCTTCCTATTCAAAACAAACAACATAAAATAAGTTAATAGAAAATAATTTCCACTATTAAAGAGAAAACTATTTTAACCTCAAGCCTATGTTTGCTTTTTGTAAAATTTTTTTTTTCATTTTCTCATGTTTGGTTCACTTGAAAAAACTTGGTAAAATGCAAAATATTTTACAATCAAAGGGAAAAAAACCTTGAACAATGAGAAATCAATTTACGGGGCCATTTATTTTGTGAAAAATATTGTCTTCGATGAGTTATTTTTCATTGTTTAGATGTATTAAAAAAATATTTTCACATAAAATAAATTATTTTTTATTTATGATATTTGAATGATAAAAGTAATGATGGTGATGGTGGTTATAATAGCGAGTATTGGTGATTATTTTTTAAAACATTATTGGTAATACTAGTAGTGGTTGTAGTGTGATAGTTATTGTTAAATGGTGACGATAGTAACATGATAAAATGATGGTTGTAATATAGTCATGGTAATAAAAAGATGATGTTAGTGGCTGCAATAGTAATAACTAGTAGAAGTGATTGTGTAGTGTAGTAGTGATAATGTTTGAGTGCAATTGTGATGGTGAAAGTAGTGGCTATGTATATATAGATAACCATGTGGTGGTGATGTGTGGGGGAGGGGGATGGGATGGGATGGTGGAGGTGATGGAAGATTATAATGGTGTAACACCCATATGCCCTAATAGGATGAGTTAAACGGGGACTTAAGTGGGGGATAATATAGTAATTTCATAAGTTACAAAAATTAGAAACAAAAGAGGAGAAGAATGGTAGTGGTTTTCTAAGTGAAACCAATAACAAAAGAAAGAAAAACAAGAAGAGAAAAAGAGAAAAAGGGGGAAGGAAGAACAAAGAGAGGACCTTCGACGGCCACCAACTCCGACTATAGTGATAGTAACATATTAGGTAAGGAAAACAAATAAAAATAAAAAGAGGAAGAAGAGGAGAGAGGAAAGAAAGAGAGAATATGAGGAGAAGAGATTCATAAGCTCTTTTTTAAAAAAAAAAAGTCTCGGGCTAATAATAATATTAATTAGAGATGGGTTACATGCAATTTGATGAATTACATCTTGAATTAGGAGTTAGAATTTAGGATTTTGATTTGATTAAAAATTAGGGGTTTTGTAAGTTTAGAAATTTGAAAAAAAAATGAGTGAATGGGTAATTAAGGGTTTAATTAAGCTTAAATTTTAATTTATTAAATTTTAATTATTGTTATTTATTGTAAATATAATTTATGATAAACGTGAGAGAGGATTTGATGGAGGAAGCGACCTAAGGAGGAGACACTTAAGTTTTGGGGTGTTTATCTAGATTTGAGGTAAGTAGATCACATATTATAGGTTTTTAATACTATATATTGCTTGTGAGATAAAAATTTGATGTATATATAATATACTTAATTGTTATAAATAATTTAATGTATGACGAAAATGGGATTCCGTCATTAATTGATGGATTTTTAAGGGGCAATTCCCCCAAAGTAATGACGGAATCAACCTTATGTCGCTATTTTGGGGAGATTTCCCCTCAAAATCCGCCACTTGCCCCTATAAATACCCCCTCTCCTTTCATCTTCCCTATTCCTCTCCCTCTCCTCTACCAAATAACCACGTCGCTCCACACCACCGAATGACTTTTCAAATCATTCAATCAAGTGAGGTGCAACTTTCTCCCTTAAATTTAAAGCAAATTTGTTCTCTCTATCTCTCGGGTTAAACTTTCTCTCTCTAACTCTTATGTTTTTGTTTAAATCAAATAAATATTAATATTTTGTAGATTAGTTATTTGTTAATTGATTAATTATTTGAATGTTGTTAATTTTGTTGTTATGTTAATTTTTAATTATGTTAAGTTGTATGTTAATTATTAGTGTAAATTTCTTAATTTTTTATTTAAATTACTTAATTTTTTATTTAATTTTCTTAACTCGTTAGGTTAATGTTGCTAAGTGTTATTCTTTTAGTGATGTTAATTTTTAGCTTAATTTTATGTTAATGTAAAACTAAAAAAGTTTAATTATGTTAATTTTTTAGGCTTAATATTATTAATGTAATTTTTTATGTAATTTATTTTAGGTTCATTTATAGTTAATGTAAAAAAAATTATTTATGTAATTTAGTTTGGAAATTAAAAAAATTAGAATAAAAATATATTTAGAAAACATAAACGATAAAATTTAATAAACATTTTATTAATTAATAGAATTTAATAAACATGTTAGTTAGTTCCATTTATAGTTAAATTAATTTTTTTAATTTATGTAATTTAGTTTGGAAATTAAAAAAATTGGAATAAAAATGTAATTGGAAAATAAACATAAACGTTAAAATCTAATAAACATTTTATTAATTAATAGAATTCAATAAACATTTTATTTAGGATTAATTAAATTAAATTTAGTTAAATTTATTATTAAATAAGTTAGGAAAATTTAATAAAAATAAACGTTTTTAGCTTCAAAATATTTAAAATTTCATGGAATTTAAGTAAAAATTAAAAATTTTAACTTAATCCCTTAATTAGGAATCCATTTGGCCCAAACATTTTAAACTTAATACCTAAATTTAAACTTCAATGAATTAATTTAGACTTCTAATACTATAATTAGGTGAGATAGAATGAAAAATCAAAATTTAAATTGAAAAATTAGCTTCAATTACCTAAATTAAGGTTTAGGCCCAATAAGGCCAAATTTGGAGTTTATGCACATAATTGATTAATTAATGCCTAATTGAATTAAATTAGGTACGATTGAATGAAATTAGAAGAAAATTTGGTGTTGAAATTAAAGTAAATGTTTGGTTTAGGTTAGGGTTATTATTCGACGTAAGGTTGAAAATCTAAAAAAAAAAAAAACTATACAATAAATCATTGAATCTTATAAAATTAAGTATTTAAGAATTAAAAAATTAAAAAAAATGTAATCATTTTATAAACAATTATCTAAATATAAAGTCAAATTCTTAAAACAAAATTCATAAATAATTAGAGACAATTATACAACTACTATATATGCTTAATATTTATTTAAAATTCATAAGAATGGTGATAAGTAATTGTTTGCATTGGTTGTGTCATTTTTGTAGCAATTATAAAAATGAGATCCGATTGACAATGGATGAATGTTAGGTTAGCTAACGGATTGTTAAATGATGACTTTATCGGAGGTGTAGAACAATTTTTAGCTTTTGCTATTGAGCATCCCGAATGTATGAACGGAATCAAAATTAGATGTCCTTGTAATTTCAGTAAACATCGAAATCGAAATTATGAAGAGGTTAAAATGATAAAATATCATTTATGTCGTAAGGGTTTTATGTTGGGATATTATCATTGGGTACATCATGGCAAATTTGAAAGCTATATGGCATCCGAAAATTCTAGGAGTTAGTATGTTTCTAGAAATTATTATGTAGACGAAGGTAGTTTCGGTTAATCCCAAAGCCCATAGCAAACTATGGTGATGGATGCGATCAATCCATCCTTTGATCCATCTAACATGAAGAAGGTTCGTAATCCTAGTGCACCACACTTTTATGATATGTTGAATACATCACGTAGAGAGATTTGACTTCATTGGGATAAGCACTTGTAATTGTCAATAGTTACTTGAATGCTGAATCTAAAAGTCGAATATCATTTTCTAGAGAAGTGTTTCAACTAGTTATGTGAGCTGATGAAGGAGTTGATGTCGATTGATAAGCGTATTCTAACCCCGTAAAAATCTTTATCCATAATGCGACGTGTATTAGAATAATTCTATATATATGTATATTAAGAGCAAGTATAATTCTCATTTCATCATGAGAAATTAATGCTTGAAATATGTGATTTATGCTAAATTAAAGTTATTGTGCTTAAGATTAATGGTTTAATTATTAAAGAAATCAAATATGCAAAATCGGTGTTTTAAGGACTATATTCTGGCCGAGTTTTGTGTGAATTATTTAAGAACTTTAGAGTAATTTTTGGGTCAACCTTAAAGAATGAAAGTTGTTCATATATGTGTTTAATATTCCTGTATAAACTTTTATAATATTTGGACTTATACATTAAGAGTTATACCAATTATAGTGAGGGTTGTTTCGAAATGCATTCTGCTGGAATTTTGAGAGAAGAATCTGCCTGAATCTTGTGAGGTTTATTTGATGCTGTTACAATGATTTTTGAGAAAAACGTAAAGAATAAAAGT